GTCTTAGAGAAGCCGGCAGCTCGAGGACAGTGACGTGGGAAACTCGAGCCGTTAGTCTGGGTGGGATTAGAGACGGGCTGCTGGGGCCACAGCTCCTGAGGCTCGAGAGGCCTCCCTGCTGCTCTCAGAGCACTTACCCTTGATCTTGATGGCCAGAAACACAGGGGAGGGGTGCAGGGGGACTCTCCTCGCTGCCTAGTAGGAGGGGCATGTGGCTGGGCTGTGGAGCAGGTCTCTGATGCAGTCAGGACCAGGGCTGTGCTCCCACCTCCCGTTCAGGTGCCTTGGGCAGTGGAGGCGGCTGAGGTGACCTCTGCAGAGGAAGCGGCAGTGCCCCGTGCCTCCCAGAGCCAGCGTCGGGCCTCGCGAGCGCATCACGTACAAGGGGAGATGAGCCCGTCCCACGCCAGGCCTCTGTGCTCCATGTCTCCTGTGGGCCAGGCCACCCGCTTCCCGCTGGGTGCCTGAGGACTCAAGCAGAGTCCAAGTGAAGCTCTTGGGAACCAAGGGCTACTTTCTTTTCGATGTCGCCTTTAGAGGGCTGGGCGGTTCCTGGTACCACCTCTCTGCTGCTCAGTTCTTCCAGAGACAGATTGGACTAGAGCCCCAGGGTTTGGCTGCGCAGGGGCTCAGAAGTCCTCTGTGCTCAGGCTCCCAGCTCTGAGAACCAACCCCCTAGACTGTCCTGAGCTCAGCGCCCCCGGTTCCTCCCCATCCAAGTCCACACCTCACACGCCCCTCAGCCTGGTCTGCATTCAGGGCATGCCCGTTCGCCAAGCCTCCCTGAACCCTCTCGCGGGTGGCAGCCGCCAGCAGCTGTGTCTCCTGCAAGCATCCCAGTGTCACCAGCCAGAACTGGAAACAACTTTTGAGTCATTTTTGTCACTCTTTTTGTAGAAAGTAAGCAGCATCGATAACTGCCAGCTCTAGAAAAGGAAGTGACTTTTGTCACAGTGGAAGGTAAACCCCTGCCTCCCTGCTGCCGCCTGACCGGCTGGCTTTGTTTCTTCCAGTGGGCGTCAACCTGTTCTATTTCTGCATCATTGTTTACCTGTACGGGGACCTGGCCATCTATGCCGCAGCCGTTCCGTTCTCCCTCATGCAGGTGACCTGGTGAGTGTACCCCCCCCAGCCCTCAGCCAGGCAGGGCAGAAGCACAGAGCCAACAAACCCACCAGTGTTGAAGTGTCAACACCCGAGACCCTTTTCTGCACAGACCACAGCCAGCTGTGCCCCCGCCCTGGCTTGGCACTCAGGGAGTGGA